CCATCTCTGTATCGGGTGCTGGGTACGCTCCGGAAACTCATCTGATGGCTTCTCCTCTATGATCAAGAGTTGGTGATAAGTAGGGCTTCGACCCTGCCATCTGATCTGATTGTGGTTAGCTTCATGACAATGGTGATAGAGGAATGTGCTAAGAGATGAAGACGACACAGAAGGCGAAAGTGATTGGGAATCCTCGTCGAAGTGATGAATTTTTATTCAATCTCGGCTCTGCAAACTCTCCAGTGAGAGCTGGAGGTTCGTAGGAGACACTACTGACAGGTGTTGAGAATATTCCCCCTTGGAATGAGGTATTTTATGAGTGAGAATGAAATGACGTCTGGTTAAAGGACTATCTAATAGTGAAGGAAGGGAAGAGTTAGAAAGGATTATAAGTAAACTCCTTTGGTAGCAATAGTTTCCTTTCTTCTTTAATTAGTTCAATACATCTAATTTCATCACAGCCAACTTGGTTCTATCACACTGCCGCATCACGCACACCGGCCGGCGAAAGAGCGCGCCAAGCATGTTCTTTTCTGAGACGAAAAAATAAACGATCATCTTTGGGGGCAGTTTTCGAAGCCTTTGCTAGAGGTCTCGTTGGTGTCGAGGTTTCATTATGGACCCACACATCTTTCACAGGTGCTGCCGGCGTGTGGAGGCCAGTTCGGGTAATTGTTGCCTAGGTAGGCTTGTCCAAGGTTATCCTCGCCTGGTTCTCTTTTTGTAGCTACTCTGGCTGCTTTTGTATCGTTTTTTCCACGATCTTTCGGCCATGATTATTGCAGTTTGGTCGTGGGGGGGGAAGTACTGTTCCTGGTCCTGACAACATGAATTGAGCTACTGCAACTCTGAGGTAGACTTTCATAAAGTCTATAAATTGAACACTCGGCCCTTTGGATAGAGGTGTTTCACGTATCCGTAATTAGAATTTTAATACTAATATTAATTCATGATAAGATGAATGGGTAGTAATTAAAATATCAATTTAATAATAGCTTTCCCTATACAATTAGTCGCGTAAAACGTCATGTGAGGATATACAAGAGAGTCATGAAGAGAAGGACAAGAACACAGCCATCAATGCGAAGATATTGGCAAGAATTGATTACGATTAATTCCGGTTGGCAAATGCTTCTACTCTTGTATATAATAGTTCGGCGTGAGAGAGATTTACTCCTCACGCAACGTCTTCTTAATTTACCCTTCACAATAAATTTGTTTACCCATCTCTTCTTCGGGAAGACTATATATCCATTGCCCAATTCTTCATCAGCAAGACCCACGTGTAACACCTACTGCAACAAGTTGCCCATTCATCTCTTCCTGGAGAAGACCTGTCATCCCTTTGATCCATTTATAATCTTCACTTACCACCTAGATCTTCACTAGGCTATACAACGCACCCCGTGGAACACTGTCAAGCCCTCATCCTTGAGAAGGTGCGAGTGCATTCTCCACACCGTTGATGGCAGCGGTGCATATTGTAAGGTTAAATGCGGTCTGGGCCGCCCGCTGTTCTTCGTCTCTAATTATGGCTCGAAGCTCGGGAGGACAAGTCGCAGTGTTCTTGGAGCTACTATCGCTACAAGAAGATTGATTGTTTCTACTTGCCCCCGGAATGGTATCCGAGGGGCTGTGGTGGACGCGACTTCGTCGGCTTTTTTAAAGTTAGCATTAGCTGTCCGCTTTTTGGCCGGCACAGCAACCTTCCTCGTGACTGTAATAACAGGAGCCTCTGAGACCTGACCGTCTTTGGGTTCATTCATATTTCATCGTGAGCTCTCACGCCCTTCCATGATATATCGGTCTATGACCGCATCACCCATTTTAACATCGGGGTTTATGGAGTTAGAATCTTCTTCGAAGGCTCTTATCCTTTCGGTCATGTCCAGCTCCATTTTTCGCCCGTCTATCGAGCTCAATGGTATGTTCTTTTTTGCCAAGCGCTTTTCCAGCCTGGTATTCGCTCTATCAATGGTTCTTTGAAGGCGAATAGGTCGCGATGATTTGGCAGGCCCCGGAGGCATGTTGGAGATCCGGGGTCTTGCTACTGTGAGAATTCGGATTGGTGTAAATGTATGTGAGTCGGAGGGGAACGGTAGGGGTTATTGGGTATCTTATTGATTCTCTCACGAATATTCAGGAATTTTTAGCACTGGTCATGTGTCATAGCTATGTAGCTGAATACACTGTGAATTTAAAAAAAAAGCAAGCAAATGTGTGGGTATATAAGATACGAGTTTGATAAATAGAGCAATAGATGAGTCTTGAATTTATCGCATGTAGTAATTGAAAGTTTAATTGTAAACCTCAATCCGGTAGTACCCGATCAATACGTAAAAAAGTAAAAGATTGCATGGTTGAATTAATATCGCGGATGAGTGATTCCATGAGTCGACTGGTTAAAGAATGTAATCTTCATAGAAGTTGCTGAAGTGAATTAAATGCCGTATCATCTTTCACATTAGTATTAACAATATAGTTTGCTATGTAGGTTCTGGACATTTTTTTTTAAATCATTTAATGCGTATTCAGCTATAAAGCTACGACACATGACCGGTGATGTGTATACATGTGGGATGACTCTTTTGACGTTAGAGACACTCATACTCTGGATTTCATTCGCAAATACCACTATGAGGTATGTTCGCTTACACAAACAGTCGATCCTCCTCCGTAAGTATCCACCAAAGGGAATTTGAAACCCTTTGGTTATCCAAGCATGCCTTCGTCATCCATGCATATCAGCGCCGCGAGAAATGTGGTTGTTTTTTGCCGGATTTGAACCAGCGATCCACTGTCTCGAGTGGGATATGTGTCCCAGCTATCCAGACTCTACTTGGCAGACCAGCCCAGACGATGTACCACCGCACCATCCAACCGTGGCGGTGTTTATAGTGTCGCCTGCACTCTCTCAGCCGAAGTCTTGGCACGCACAAAGCTCAATTTGTAAAAACTCCTTGCCAAATTTCAAAATTCCACGCCCGTCGAAACTGAATCCATCCTTCGCATCATTTTGTTAACTTGTCCAGAATCCTCTCACGTCTACCCCAAAGAACGGTCTCCCAGATTTGTGCGCCACGCTTTGCTTCCTCCGTCGGGTATAAATATCGGCGTGGGCGTGTGTTTGGTGACCGGCTGAGGCAAGAGAAAGTCGACGAGAGGTGTGATCATTGGAATGAGGATGTACTAGGTCGTACTTGTAGACTTGATGAGGCTTAGGTAGGATTCGATCTTTTTTGGAATGAAAATTTGACGTGGTGGGGTTATTTGAATCATTGCCTCGTGGGCCAACTTGTTCGGTATTGCGAAATTTGACTGAACTTGGCTCTGGGAGAATATTTCACTCCCAGGTTCGTAGAGAGCACTACTGACAGGTGTTCGGTCTTGCCCTCCAGGTTCTGAACATATACGAGGTAAAGAAATTTTTGTTTCTTGGTGTGGCGTTCAATTGTTTGATTTAGGACACGAAGTGACTTGCTATCCATAAAGCGGCCATAACGTTAACTGCGATAGGCATTGATCTCTCCGAACAACTTTTATGGAGATTTTTACTGCCGTTTAATATTATTTAATATAATAACAACTTATTGCTATTTAGCTATTTATTACATGTTCTATGACATATGATCAGTACCATGTAAACATGTTGGATTAATCTATCGGCGCTTGAGGCACTCATACTCTGGATTTCATTGAGAGTTTATTTTAACACCTGTCAGTAGTTTCCCCTACGACCCTCCAGATCTCAGCACAGAGTCTGTAGAGCCCAGGTTGAGTAACACTGTCCACACTTCATCGGTGACTCCCAATCGCTTTCACTGTCTTTATCGTCTTCAATTTTCAGCACAGCACCCTAGCACCACCATGATGAGCCTAACTACCGTCAGATAAGGCGTGGATCGAAGTCCTACTCATCACCAACTCTTGATCATGGGGGAGAAGCCATCCGATGAGATTTTGGAGCTTACCCAGCACCCGATACGGAGATGGTGAATTGGATCAATTCGGCATCTTTTTCTACAAAAAAGTAATATATAGATAGATATGCGCAACTCATGCGGTCCCAGTGTCTAGCCTTGCCTAACTGGGTCAAAGGTTTCTTAGGATTAGAGTTAAGGCGTACGCCGCTTGCATTGCTGCATCTATTTTGTGTCGAGAGTTGTTGAAGCTTTGACGTGGAGTGATAGATATGAGAGTGAGGTTTATGGGTCACGATGTATGAGATAACTGAGGTGTGGATGTATGAGTTCCTTACTATTGTTGTTGTACTAGTTAGGGTCGTATTGTCTATATACATAAAAGGATTTCTCCATCTACAAGTGGGCCAGATCGCTTAGATCTGGCAAGCGGCTTTCGCCATCCTCTTCCTTCTACCCCGCATAGCATCACGTGCTATACAACTACTGCTCACCATGAAGTCCGAGGATGAAAAGCGTTAGATTACAACAAGAGTTACGTGGAAAAGTAGACTAAATTCTACTGATTAATTCTATGCTGATTTGCTACCTATCATGTGCGACGTATCAGATGTTTTCTTTCGCAAGAAAAGGTGATAGCTGCATCCTAAAAGGTGTGGCCTGGGTCAGAGAGGAGCCCAACGTGCTAGGTAGTCATGTACTCAAGAAGCACAATACACAACAAAACACTAAACCAGCGTGTGATATTTTTACAGCCCGAAAAAAACCGTAGAGATAGAGAGATTAGTACATTACACAAGGTAAACGTGCTTTTTGTAAGTAATTAGAATGAACTTAATTCTCTTATTGAAGTCATTGACTCAATTGTACAAACAACACATGATTCCATTCCCATCGGAGACCAGATCTAATTTCTTCCTGATCTCAGGTATTGCGCCATAAATAAAGGAAATATTCGCATTAGAAATCTGATGCAAGAAGAAATCCAGGATTCTTCGCGTTGAGTATTTGCCTGAGGCATTATTGGCATCAAAGTGGCTTAGACCATCGGAACTCAACAAATTAGTTCTCCAAGGCACCTTCTCAATATGCATCATATTATTGGAGCTCGTCCGCGCGTCTCTGGCAATTCAATTCTCTCCCGTATCTGGCAATGTCACCAAGTACTTGATTCAGCTCATTAGTGCAGGAGGCACTTCCAAAGTTATTATAAAATACTCGAATGATTATCCAAAGAGCAATTCTCCATATTTTCCAAAAATGTCAATCGAAACTAGAAAACGTAATGCGCCCACCCTACCAGCAGAGATAGCCACAGTTAATCTCGGGAACTGTCTCGTAAATCTTCCTGCATCTCTTTGTTCGTTGCTAGCAAATGTGAATACGGTACGCGTCCTTGAAAGTACCATATCTACCATAGAATGCTCATAGCCTTAAGCTTGCTCAAAATGTCATCGTAGAGTTGAGTTATCGGCCGCGCTCCCAAATATCGAACGCTCCAAGCGATACTTCAACCCTTAAGTCCATATACGTGGGCTGGACGGGAATGCAGAGTAAACGGAAACTTGCATCCATCATCGACAAGGATGGGATAAACGTAACAAGAGGAAGCATCCGAGAAAAAGAGCCCGATGTTTCAATCATCGAAATCGATTCTATTTTTGCGCGCACGATCGATATTCTAGCTGGACAGAAAGTCACTGCTAGCCTCCATCTAGATCCCCCCACTGCACATACAGTTAATATTGAACCCATGTCGCCTGAAGATTGGGAAATAATAGAGCTCCACGCCACATACTTAGAGATTAATTTAGTATCTCAAATACGAGCGCTTCCAAATCCGAATTACATTCCATTAAATGGCCAAAAGTCACAATCCTATCCTCTAACGCTTAAGCTATCCCCTACATCATCGGCTACAATAATTGTGACATCTATCGCTCCAGAACAGCCCTCTAATTCTCCTTTTGCAAAATTGGATCCAGATGCAGAGGTAATTGTAGCGCCTAAGACTAAATCGAGACTACTGCGCTCGCATGGTGAAAATCGAAGTGTTACATCAAGAAGTGCTAGTGATAGACGAAAGATCATTCGCGAAGAATCTCGATCCGACTTATACTTTAGGGGTATCGATAGAAGTCTTTGTGAACACCGATTCAATAACGCCAAAGATATCGATTTAGATGGATTGAAGGTCTGGATCGATCGGGATTTACTTTTATCAAAAGCTTTCAAAGGCGTCACTTATGTGTTAGTTATGGTACTGAGGCCACTAAGCATCCAACCACTTATCGATACCCAAAAGTCACAAGAAGAAATTGAAAACTTAGGTTCTGCTGGTCCGATAGCTTCTAAAGTTGTCGCTCGTCTAATGCCATGGGATGACCCACCAGATAGTGAACATGTTGCATTCTCGAGGTTACTTTGTACTTCTCTAATGTTCGAAGGGATAGTGGGAGGAATCGTGAGGCTAGAGCCTGCTCCCCAGCAATTGTTAAAGACTGCTATACCAATCTTAGCTCCGCTCGATCAATCAACGCCAAAAATAGCATCTGGTGTAATCAAAATATACCCATTTTCTGCCAAAACTAGCACAGTTACAGAGGGCTTAAAGTTCGGTGGAGACTCCAAGGCAGAAAAAGAAGAGTTAGCTAGGCGTATACTAAAAATATTTGGCAATCAAAGACAAGGTACCGAGTCACTCTTTGAAGGTCCTTTAACAGATGGGCTTATAATCGGTGAGAATCCAAAGTATGCTCAATCATTTGAATGGAAGGGCGGTATCCTTAGATTTGATCATTCATCAGATTCCGGGAAGCAGTCTTGCCATTGGTTTCTTGGATCTGAACGTAACTTTAAAGTTGAAGTTCAACCTGCCATTGTTCGTCCAGCATCTACATTTACATCGAACACTGTATATGGTTCCTTCATACCAGAAGTACCAAAATTAGTTGGCATCGATACCATGATTAAACAAATACAGGCTAATCTCCTACACATGTCCTCTATCTTACTTACTGGAACACAAGGATGTGGCAAGAGTTCTCTAGCTCAATATATGTGTCAATGGCTTAGGAGAGAAGCCCTGTTTCATACTACATTTTTCTCCTGTAGAAAAGTGATTGCCGACGAGGCAAGAGTTTCCACTATTAAAGAAACACTTAACCGAGTATTCATGTCTGCATCATGGGGCGCTAGACTTGGGGGAAAATCAATTGTGATACTTGACGATCTTGATAAACTTTGTCCAGTTGAGACAGAATTAGAAACAAATGAAAACACACGTTCTCGACAGATAAGTGAAGTCATTTGTTCGATAGTCAGTCAATATTGCCGCAGAGATAATAAGGTGGTCTTATTTGCCACAGCACAAGCAAAAGAATCACTGCACAACATCATCATCGGAAGACATATTATACAAGACATTTTAGTCTTAAAAGCACCAAGCAAAGAAGCAAGGGCTAAGGTGCTCGAAATGATCCTCAAAACTCAAGATCCTGTCGTTGAAGAGGCTAGATCTTTTGATAGGCCCCGAAATATTCCCTGCAGTCGACCAGTAACGGCAGGTAGTAGTGAAAGTGAATACACAAATGCTTGGATGGACAATGATAGCGTTGCAAGCTGTCCTGATTCCTTCACGCCAAAGAAAGATGGCTTTTATGTGCCATCTGATTTTGATTTCTTGGATCTTGCCAGCGATACAGATGGATATATGCCAGGAGACCTTGTATTACTAGCCACACGTGCTCGTAGTGAGGCAATTATCCGAGCGGTCGCAGAAAATCCAAAACGTACGATATTTACGACTGTTGAAATACGCCGCGAAGACTTTACAAGTGCACTTAAAGGTTTCACCCCTGCTTCCCTTCGAAACGTATCTTTACAAACAAGCACGACAACGTTTGACTCGATTGGCGGGCTCTACACCACCCGCAAAACCCTACTTGAAACTCTCCAGTACCCTACAACCTACGCTCCTATCTTTGCGCAGTGTCCTTTACGCCTTCGCTCTGGCCTTTTACTTTATGGATTTCCAGGCTGTGGGAAAACACTTCTTGCCTCTGCCGTTGCAGGTGAGTGTGGACTCAATTTTATATCAGTCAAAGGCCCTGAAATCCTGAATAAGTACATCGGTGCGTCAGAGAAGTCTGTGCGAGATCTTTTTCAGCGCGCAGAAGCAGCAAAACCATGCGTTCTTTTTTTTGACGAGTTCGACTCCATTGCTCCTAAGCGTGGTCATGATTCAACAGGAGTTACAGATCGAGTTGTGAATCAAATATTGACACAAATGGATGGCGCCGAGGGTTTATCGGGTGTTTATGTGCTGGCAGCTACTTCCCGACCAGATCTCATTGATCCTGCCCTACTGCGTCCAGGGCGTCTTGACAAAAGCCTAATTTGTGATCTTCCAAGTGAAGAAGAGCGCATCGATATCTTATTGGCTCTCAGTAAAAAATTACGACTCAGTGAAGAAGTTTTGGAAAATCTTCCTGAGATAGCCAGTCGCACAACTGGGTATTCTGGTGCTGATCTACAGGCAATGATATATAATTCTCACCTAGAGGCTATTCATGATATTCTTGGTAACCAGGAGGATCTAGATACTAGCAAAGAAAGTAAGAAATCCTTGAATAGAAATACTGATACAGTCGCGAGTGATTTTCTTCAATTTCGCTATGGTCGGGAAGAGGAACGACTTGAAGTAGAAGCACATGCCCGATCACAAGCAACTAAAGCAAGGATTCATATCGAGAAAGCAACTATTATGAGTAAGCTGTCAGAAATAAAGTTTCAAAACCGACAACGGAGAATTAATGCTGTATATGAAATAGATCGACGTGAAACAGCACCTAATGTGGAGAAAAAACATGTCATGATAGAATGGCAGCATATAGTCAAGGGCCTAAATTCAACAAAGGCAAGTATCAGTGTGGCAGAAAGAGAACGCCTGGCAGCAATTTACAGAGAGTTCCTGACTGCCAGAGATGGTGAAGTTCGGAGCGGGGATGGCGGAAGGGAAGTTGGTGGCAGAGTGAGCCTTATGTAGTTTTGTCTGATTGATTGTTTTTGGCGAGGAGTATATTCGACAAGAGCAGAAAATTTTGGGCTAGGTTATCCACGTGTTTTAGACTCCAACTTCCTCGCTCTAACTGACTCTCTGGGTAGCCCACGGAATTCTTTCCGTTTCTTTCAAAAGTGAATTCTATTTAAAACTTGTGTTTCTATTTTAAGAACATAGAATTAGTTTGGCTTTATAATATATACTACGAGATGTAGATAGATAATAATGAGCGCTTAGTTAGTCTAATCATGATCAGGATATACAGATATCAATTTTAGATTTTAACAGCGAAGTCTGCGTTCCCTAAAATACTACTCTACTTATGAAAGTATTTCTAAGATCTTAATAGCACCAAACCCGTCAAAATCTATAAGATTATTGCCATTTTCGTCAACCCAGCGGATAGTCTGGGCAACCTCATCATTAGTAACATTTTTATCACTAGCGTGCAAGACGCGTCCGGACCCTCTACGCTGATGTTTCCTCAAGTGAATATAATTGTTTAGTGTGGGGCCAGAATTACAGGGCATCACGATCCTCTTTATCTGCGTCCGTCAGCATCATAATTTAGCGCTGTAGCAAACAAATTTTCTCAACACCTCATTCTATATAGTATTCTAAAGAATAAGACGACTCGCCTATTGCTCAAACTTATGCAAGCAAATTTCTAACTCATCGACCGATTAAGTTCGTGGCTAAAAAGGTATCAGAGTGCTCCATCCGTGAGACTGTCTCACGCGCCCCTCAAGCCTGATCTTCTTAGAGGAAAAGGAGTTTCGGTACCATGACCGTTTTCTCTATACCGAAATTAGCTGTCTCGCTACATCATCTATGACGTATCATATTAGATGCTGTGATATGAGAAGGGATGAGATATTTTCAGGCTTCACTTATACATACACCTTAAGCGACCTCACAAATTCTCGCCGAAGATGCTAGGCTAGATGACTACTCTTTGAAGCTTCCAAAGAAATTGCTTAAAAACGGTCTTAGGAGAATGTAAAACTTCCAGCACTGGTGCTTAAACGCGAAATTGCCACTTCGGCCACTAAAGGGAGTAAGTGATCCAAAAAATATACAGTTTACCTTTTGTAAGATCAAGCTACCCAAGAAAGTAGAGAAGATATTACAGCATACAATAGAAGAGTAGACCTATCCTGCTGGGTGTAAATTAACATGTAAGATTAGTATAAAAGATAGTAGAAAAAGGCGGGCAAAGTCGCAGCAAACCAAGAACGGGCGAAATAAGCTTCAAAATAAAGGCAGATCAAACAGCCTAAATAATTCTTCACTGCCGATCCCCAAACCTTGAGAGTAGTCAACTCCTATTGAAGTTGAGTTTCGAAAAAGGGGATAATAAGTCTCCGAGAATGGCCATTTTCTCTTAACCAAAACAGGACAAAGACTCAAAGTATTCTAGCATTGCAAATTTGAGCGCGAGTTTTAAATATGATTATCAGATTAGTGTTTGTATAAGTAAGAAGTAGAGGATTTCGCAAGTTATATCGGTGACTCAAGATTTTGAAAGAAGATGTAAGATATGAAAGTGTACTAGAGAGGGTGCTTAAAGTAATCGGAGAGTTGTTTTCCTGAAGAAAATTGAGTGCAAAGAGCTCTATCTGTAGATGTTCTACCCATTATTATATAAATTACCTTCGAAAGTCACCGTCACCTTGTATTATTATTTTGAGTACAAAAATAGAACTTTGCAGCAGTTGTTAATACGGGTTACCAAATGATAAAAATAGGAATTACGTAACGATAAAAATAGAGATGTGAAACTATTCCAGTCGAACCCTTACAATGAGGTTAGATGGGTTAGAATTATGGTAGGACAGTATACACAAAGAAGAATATAGAATGGATAATCTGATGGTGAGCGATTGTTTGGACAATCTGAGGACAAATAGATATCTAAAAATGAGCGCATAATCCACATAAAGAGTAAATACACCTGATTATATACTTGTTCGATTTGCCCCATAGGCATAGCTATTGAGTGTCTGATGTACTTATGTAATGCGTACGGACGTTCTTTGACCCTTAAGCTCCTACTTATTAGTACGACTCATATTTGAGTCACGCATTAATATGAACTTGCATCAATACTGCATTGAAATACAATCACTGGGTCTTGTTTATGAAGCCCTTGCTTCATTGCGCTGATTAATAACAGGTATACACAAGGCTACAGCCTCCAGTTGGTTGGCCTCTTTGGGCTCTTCATAAGACTAGATGCATCTTTGAATTTAGTCCTCATCTCTTTATTCTGAGAGCCCCACACCCAGGGATTTTTACGATTCTCTCTGGCTTTCATACATCTATAAATGGCCATCAAATCGTCGGCTGGAGAGGGGAGATTATAAAGGACAGAGGGCACCTGTTAGTATGTGATGAAATGAGGACTTGTAAGGTTCTGTACTATTCGATGGGATATACTACTAGTATAGGTATCCTTGGTCTGTAGGCAGAGGTGACCTGCATATCTGGTATAGTTCTTGACTCAGAGGGGATAACAACATTAATAATCTAATCAAATTTGATCTAGTGAAGATTTGATAGCTCAGGAGTTGTACTGTATTAAGGTGTCAAATATTATTGCTGATTATATATATGTTCTATCTAATCACGTTGAAACTAATCAGTGCAGATCTGCTTGCCAAGCGGTCCATTTTAATGCTAAGGTTAATTTGAATTGTATTAAGAAAATAATGACCCCTCAGTCTTTTTTTTTTTTAAAAAAATCATTTGATGTGTATTCAGTTATCTAGCTATGACACATGACCGGTGCTATGTATACATGTGGGATGACTCTTTTGACGTTAGAGACACTCATACTCTGGATTTCATTCGCAAATACCACTGTGAGGTATGTTCGCTTACACAAACAGTCGATCCTCCTCCGTAAGTATCCACCAAAGGGAATTTCAAAACCTTTGGTTATCCAAGCATGCCTTCGTCATCCATGCATATCAGCGCCGCGAGAAATGTGGTTGTGTTTTGCCGGATTTGAACCAGCGATCCACTGTCTCGAGTGGGATATGTGTCCCAGATATCCAGACTCTACTTGGCAGACCAGCCCAGACGATGTACCACCGCACCATCCAACCGTGGCGGTGTTTATAGTGTCGCCTGCACTCTCGCAGCCGAAGTCTTGGCACGCACAAAGCTCAATTTGTAAAAACTCCTTGCCAAATTTCAAAATTCCACGCCCGTCGAAACTGAATCCATCCTTCGCATCATTTTGTTAACTTGTCCAGAATCCTCTCACGTCTATCCCAAAGAACGGTCTCCCAGATTTGTGCGCCACGCTTTGCTTCCTCCGTCGGGTATAAATATCGGCGTGGGCGTGTGTTTGGTGACCGGCTGAGGCCAAAGAAAGTCGACGAGAGGTGTGGTCATTGAAACGAGGATGTACTAGGTCGTACTTGTAGACTTGATGAGGCTTAGGTAGGATTCGATCTTTTTTGGAATGAAAATTTGACGTGGTGGGGTTATTTGAATCATTGCCTCGTGGGCCAACTTCTTTGATATTGCGAAATTTGACTGAACTCGGCTCTGGGAGAATATTTCACTCCCAGGTTCGTAGAGGACACCGCGTACAGGTGTTCGGTCTTGCCCTCCGGGCTGATTCATTGCAGGGCAGCATCGTGATGAGTCTATTGATCACACACGCTAGCCATATGCGGTTAGGTATCGCCGGGCAATTACGGGATAGCGCTCAGAGGTACATGCAGACCTAGCGCATTATCGGAACTATACAACTGCTTCCGCTCCTGAGTAATGGACTAAGGACTGCGGAGCTGAGACATTGTATGGGAACAATTGAAGCGGCGCTGTGGTGTGTATATAAACCACAGGCGCGAACCATGGACTGGATTGCTGTCGTTCCTGAACAGCTAGGTTCAGGATCGCTCAGCTGGGATATTACACGTAAGTGATTGAGGCATTGCAGCGACGCGTACTCGGACCGCGCGCGCCAGCCACCGGAACAGCGGATGCCTCCCATGAGAGATGGACTCATGAGCTGCAGAGTTTCACCTAGGCACGCTGTTGGCAGTAAGTCAGGAGAGAGAGCGTAGACAATGACATGGGTCATATTAGAGTATATAAGTAGTCTATGTTCTGTCTCATGAGCAGTATCAGAAAAGTATCGGACACCTGCCAGCAATCACATTACCAAGTATCAAACCATCTGAACAAACATCGTGACACATTCCAATTAACTATGTTCCCAATTAACTCATAACCTTCACACAAGCTCGATGGGGGTATGGGTCTCGGGACCAATTTTTGCTGACCTGACGGGCCTAGAATTAGTCATCTCGTTGTCGGGAAGGTCTGGAGACTTCCCTTCGATGAAGGCCTCACTCGCAAATATGCTTGAAAGATTTCGCGCGAGGCCAGGTAATTGTTCGAGAGCCCTCGGGTGGACTCTCGTGTTGTCCAACTTGGCGTTGGGACGCTTTTTGCGAATTGGAGGCATGGTTGAAATGCCTGAGCTCGATCAAAATTCAGATATGGACGCGACGAGATTGAGAAGGGAGGGAAGAGAGAAAAAATGAATTTTCGAATTTCTCGAATTTATTATTTTTTTTATTTTTAAAATCCTAAGCTATGCTCAATATCTCCTAGGATTCAAGGACCGGTGCACACGACCAAGATCATGCTTCCCACATACCTGACTCGGTCTCACCGCGTGACCCACTACACAACAAGTAGCTAGTTATAAGAAAGAAAATGAATGCCACACAAACTCCCATAACCAGAATTCCAAATCCCAAAATCCTGTTTGTGGTTGAAAAATGACACTTCTCGTCTCATTTTCCTGCCCGTCATGCTTCATGGTAAGATCTATATACTACCGTCTACGCCGAGAGCTGGAGACGGAGTCACAGGTAGGCCCCCGAAGTAGCCAGTTTCCTGCGCAAATTTTTTAAAGTGTTCGAGGCACTTAGGCCCGAGAAGTTTGTGGGTAAAGTTGT